TCCAGAAAAACGTTAAAATTTAAGGTTATTTTTAATTAATTTAAATTCTAATTAAAATTTCGAAAAATCCTTTCCTATTGAGCACCTACTACCCAAGAAGCAACCGCCTGCCAAATTTCAAGTTTCTAGGCTTCTTGGTATGGGAAATTTCGTGATGAGTGAGTCATGGTATTTGCCTTTTATGTATAAAGATTCCCGTTCAGATGACGAAGAAGACCCTCAAAACAGCTCTTTATTTTATAGTCGAATTGTCATTATCTAAAGAAAAATATTCCCAAGAAAAACTCTTCTTTGTTTTTCTCATTTTTAAAGATGTTGTAATTGAAAAAAGATCTACGGCATGTAGCACTTAAATTGGCTAGTTTAGAGAAGAGATTATACAATCAACAGAATATAGAAGTAAAGAGTATAAGCAAAAGACGTAGGTTTCGAGAATAATCGTGTAACTTTTGCCATAAAGTGGTTGCTCTGCTTTTGCTTTTTTTCTCTCTGCGAACCATCTTTCACCAGAGTACTAATGGATAGCTCCAAAAAGTGGGAACTTCAACACTAACAAAGTGCCCAGAATCAAAACTTCTCTCACTGAAGACTGACAAAAAGAAGAACCTACCTAATTTTTTCTCGAAAGCTGCCACATCTGCAGTCTTTTTAAGAAAAAACATTAGTTCAACAAAGATTGCGATGCTTAAAGAACAAAGAAAAAGAATCAATTTAAGAGTATGAATAATCATCTTTCTTGAATGGAAATCGAGCTAACATTGCAGATTTTACCGCTTTTGTTTAGTTGCTGCTACCTAAAAATGAAACTGGTGGATTCAGAAACGTTTTAGTAATGAATTTCATGAAAAACTAATTCTTAGAGGAATTATTACCAAAAATATGGTATACATGTAATAGACTTGTGTAGACTTTTTTGAAGAGAATTACGGTCATTCCCTACAGCATTATGTGCCTTTTACTGAGTCTTCACAGGAAGTTAAGGATGAAAATGATATGAGATTAAACTTCTTAAATAAAGATTTCGACGATTTCATGCCCATTCGACTTCAGTTCATGTCCATTTCAAAATTTTGCGCTCGAAGTTGCGCGTATCCTGGGCAAACGCCAAATCGTAGAGAAAGCGCGCCGTGCCGTATTAGCCGCACGATTTTTTATGACTTCCAAATGGGTAATGCCCGTAATTAGGAATGTAATTAATAACAAATTAGTTATTCGGTATTTTAAAGAGACTCATCGGGAGCAGACGATCAAGTCAAGAAAGTAAAAGTAAATTAAGAAATAATAATTAAATTAAAAAGAATTTATTGCATACATATATTGATTATTTTGAATTTATAGCTCGGGTTAATGTCACATATTTTGTTGTTATCAATATTTTTACAAAGAAAAATCAGCTTTGAAAAAAAATTAGATTCATTTTCAAACCGCAAAGTAAAAATAAAACAGAACGACAGAACGATCGCATTCCATTTGAGAGAAAAACAGTAATAACAATATTCAAAGAACTGAAGCGGGATTTTAAATTTATACATCACACAAAAGCTTTTAGAACTTTCTAAACAGTTAGTTTTATACAATACAAATCTTCAGTAGCCTAAAGATTTGTATTGTATAAAACTATCAAAACTAATTAAATGAGGAAGCAGAAAACTTTGGTCCACGTGCATCTAATTTCGGAATTTTAAAGATGGAAGAAGGAAAATGGAGAAAGTTTTTCCTTTAAATGTGGCAATATTATATGAATTTCTCACATATTAAAAAAATAATATGCAAGATAATTAATTGCATGTAGAGTAACGTCTCATTTCTGAGAAGAAAACTCTTGGATTGGATCACAACGACGCTTCCTGAATGACCCTGAAAATCCTCTCGAAGCGAAAAACTTGAAGTTAAAAAAGGAGGCTGGAGGCACTACCCACCACTTGTTCGGGGCGCAGCGACTCATTTAATGGGGCCTCAGACATTAGGGACGCGGGGGGCGGGCGCTCTAATTAAGGCAACCGTTTCCAATTCATTAGCTGAACTCTCGTTCATTAGGGGAGGGGGGCGTTAATTGTGGTTTTGTCGGAAACGAGGCGCGAGACAAATGGGCGCACCTTTTCCTCCGGAGTGAGAGGAGGCGATTATCGGAGAGGGAAATGATTCGGGAGGCGACACCTTTCGAGCAACTTCCGCCTCCGACACCCCTCCCTCCCCGAACTTACTTTCCTTCCACAGTCCCTCTAGCCTGTTTCTTGGTTCTCTATGTATTATGCCTTCACTTCCACATCTTTACACTAGAGCGCGTTGTCGAGGCTCGATATCTGATACTTAGCGTCTCGAAACTGGACGCAGCCAGTATTTCTAATGTTATTCTCTTTATTCTAAATCTATTTCCATCAGATTCATTTGATATTTGGTTAAATTTCATGTTTGGTGTTCCTTCATTGACAAAAAAAAAATTGTTCCAAATGTTCCCTTTTCTTCTTTATTACACAAACACATATCATAAGAGGTAGTTGCTCAGTGGTGTAGTCTCAAAATAAGCAGTGACGGGATGCTTGCTTTAAAAGCAGTATCGGAACGCTCTTACCTGGGCGGTTTCTTGGTTCTCTATGCTCGTATTATGCCTTCACTATCACATCTTTAGACTAGAGCGCGTTGTCGAGGCTCGATATCTGATACTTAGCGCCTCGAAACTGGACGCAGCCAGTATTTCTCTAATGTTATTCTCTTTATTTTAAATCTATTTCCATCAGACTCGTTGATATTTGGTTAAATTTCATTTTTGGTGTTTGCTCACTGACAGAAAAAGTGTTCCAGATGTTCCCTTTTCTTCTTTATTACACAAACACATAACATACGACGGAGTTGCCCAGTGGTGTAGTCGCAAAATAAACAGTGCCGGATGCTTGCTTTAAAAGCAATACCCGAACGCTCTAACCTGGGTGACAAAAATCTCACTTTTTTAAGAGCGTTTTCACAATTTGTTATTATTTATTTCTCGTACACTCCTGGAGTTGCCAGAAAATAAGATTAATCCTCTTAAGAGGATCTTGATAAGTATTGATGCTGCTGACCAAGAACGAAATGCACCCATTTGCACATGCATATAACTTCAAATATAAGAATAAAATCCGCAGTATCATGCTTAACACAGGAAGATCATAACCAAGAGCGAACCTTTTTTCTGACCTAATTTCTAAATAATTTACAGAAGTAAAGCATCAAGGCACGCACTACCACCTATAAGCTGCAGCCATGAACAAAATTTAAAAACCTAGAATTTCAACTAAAAATGGTCAAAAACTTACAATGCAATAGTGAAATATATTAATAAAATAACTTAATAACTTTCGTTTAAAATGTTTTCAGAGAATTCATTTACTAAGACACTACTTACGAACAAAATGCATCACAATCGTCACCAGTCCTGTTTTTCATTCAGCCTTTAGGCATTGTGGGTAAAGATAAAACCCTGCCAATATTACAGCCAACGATCCCATGCATCTTTTATTTCAATCCCTTTTCCTTCATCTTTTATATGAGTGATTCCAGTTGCAAGCAAGGTATTATTTTTCAAATGTGGTCGGCGGTCATTGCTATCCTTGTAGATTAAAAGGACATTAATCAATCTTGTTTCTCATTGTCTAAATTTAGTTCAAATGACAATAAACTAAATTTAGTCAATAAGAAGCTGAACTTTTCGTTTTCATTAATGTCGTAGAATAAATATACAATGAAGCCATGAACAGTTCTTTTCAAAATTAAATAGTTCTAACAACTATTTCGACCAATCCTGTTCCTCACATCTTATATAAATTTATAACATACTAAAATATAACTTGAATACCTTCCCTTAGATTATCTGTGGGAATTTTCAAACCAAAAATGCCATCGTATTGGGAAAAAATGTAACTTCAGGATAATGTTGAGTGTTAGTCATTAGATGGATTACTTGGAGAGAAAATCTCAAAAGTCAGTACTCGATCAGAAATTTTGCATTTTGTTGGATTTGTAAAATTATATTACAGTATTTCAAGATATGATCAGCTTTAAAAAAAAGCACGGGCCCACTAATGTTCATTTTGGGATGCTACAAATTGTAATTGACTGAGATCAATTTAAAGTTTCTTTTTCACTCTTTCAGCTTCACTCCTTAAACATTTGTAATTTTAATCTCATTCTTGGTTGTTATTCTTAAACAAAGGATATAGAGCAGATTATCTTGCAGCACGAAGATCTGAGAAATTTAGGGTATCCACATTATTTTTACTTGGTGCAAACGATATTTCAATTCTTCTTCACTTTTTCCAAGCCTGTGTGCCCGATGCCGTCTGGAGACATTCTGCGCCGAGTGATGTAGTACCGTCGGATCCTTGTCAGGCAGAAGAGGGGGGCGAGCACTCATTTCAATCCAATCCATCAAGTGGCAGCACAAACTTGGCAACTCTGAAATCTGCCGCCAAAGGCCTCAACTTCTTCATTTCTCCCTTCTTTCTGCGTCGCTTTCTGGTATATACCATCCCCATTTCTCCAAAATGTCAACAACCCTAACTAACTATGAGGAGGGATATGCTCGTGTCAGGGCTCAGCCACGGGGAAATAACTAACCAGACAGTGGAGTTGTAGCCTAGGGGAAAAAAAAAAGATTGTAAACTGAGAGTTTTACAGAAGCTATAATTATTCTTTCAGGCCGTTTACACAAAAGGATCTGATTGTTTGAAATGCTACTGGCGCAACGGATTTTGCTTCCAGGTGACTTTTGTTTCCTGGCAGCGAAACAATTTTGGGTGTCCGTGTGAAAAAGTGAGGAAATGGGAGCTTTTTCAGCAAATTTTCCATTAAAAGAAAAGAAAACGAGTAAGAAGAAACCATTCAAATTTCTTTGATGGAAGTAAACATCACCGTAGCACGTTCAGTTGAGCGATCTTAATATCTTAATTTAATGTAGCTTTTGTTATAATCTGAATGTTCACCTGGAGCAAAAAATGATTAATAACTTCTGTCAAATATTATTTTCTCGTCTGATCACCGCAGTTAAGCAGCATCGGGCGTGGTCAGTACTTGGGAGGGTGACCACCTGGGACACCTCGTGCTGTTGGCATCTTCTTTGTTCGGTTGCCGTAATGGCAACAGGCACAGGCATGGGGGGGGCGTTCTGTCAGATATTATTGCTTGAATGTTTAGGATCCTAAGAGGTCTCAGGAGTATCTTTGGCAATCTATCCTAAATTTTCAGCAGATGCCAAATGGTTTCAATTTACGTGATGTCGATCCCACCGCGGGGGGCACCGATTATACTGTTGAGAAGCCGCTGGATAAGTAAGCGGGTTCTCGCTTCCCCGGTGGATATAGTAATGGGGGACTTGTATCCTCCTCCAGTGATAGTACGTACCTACGGGAGTGGTCGGGCCGTGGTCGGTGATGACAAACTAGGACTACGGCCTCAGTACTCGAGCTATTGCAGCGGCTGTCATTCAGAAACCCGGATGCCAAGGCAGGGCGGGGGTTCCAGTTTTCTGGTTACGTGATGTCGTAATTACTTCAAAAATGTCACTTCGTCTGTCATCTAAAATTTAGCTTCAGACTGACTTACGTTCCTCATCTGTCATTGAGCTTTAAAAATGTTTCAAATTTTTTTTAGGATTGATGATTACGGCCAATTTGTCCGGTTTGGATGATAACGATTCGCACTGGGGTTTTTGAAACACTGCTACTGGAGAAGGAATGGGGTTTCGATGCTCGCCTAAATGCTCGCTTTATATTTAAATTGATCACTGGATTTTAGCTAATGGATATTATACTGCTTCTCTCTGCCGTGCGATATGGAATTATAAAACTTTGGGGGGCTGCATGGGATCTTCCCCCCCCCGAGTTTAACCATGGTGGAGGCGGCTGCCGGATATCATGTAGGGGCCAGGGTTTTAAAATGCTATTAATTATTTTCGATAAGAAAATCCTATGTTAGTTGATCGAGAAGTGATATTTTTGAGTTTTTGTTCCTGGGATTGTGTTGTTCATTGTGTGTGTGTGTTTTTGTTGATTGTTTTTTTGGAATGATATTATCTTTTAATGTTTGCAAATGTCTTTGGATTTGGATTCACTGTGAACTTTTTTTGGGGAGTGGGGGTAATATATGTTATTGATTGTCGGATGTCTCCCCAGTCCTGCGACCGGTACATTTTAATGTTTATAATGTTTTAGGTATTTTATTCTGTTGGAATTGTACTGATTTTAGTCTGCCCAGGGGTTGGGTGAGCAGTTGTAATTGTCATATTCCTGTATTTTATATTGACTCTGTGATTGGGTTCCACCCCTGTTTGGGTGCAGTATGTAAATATTTATTTGTTTGTTTTTTTCGTATGCTTTTCGTGCCCGCTTGGGCTGAGGGCACGCTAGCCTCTAGTGTCAGGGTTGCTTCTTCCCTGCCGGCCCGCTCCAGGCCTTACATCCTTACGGGTAGGCCGGACCGGCATGGGTACTAAATAAATAAATAAAAATACTGTCTTACGGTGCCATGATGCAATATTACCATCAGAAAATGCAAGATGCGAAATGGATTCGAAAATTAAACTGGTGGGACACACTTTAAGTGTATCCCATGAGCATGAATTGATCCCATTGCGAAAAATTATAAATACAATAATATAACCTCAAAACCTTGCATTTACTTTACGGAAGGTACTACAGAACTTACCCACTAAGAGTATTTAATCATATTATGGATATTTCTGAGACTAAATAATTCGTAGTAGAGTTGAAATATTATAGACAATTCAGTCTTTCGGCAAGGATTAACATGTACATCAGTGATGAAAATTAGAATTATTAGACATAAACACGTAAATAAGGTACTAAAATATTAATAAAAAAAGAATTGTTTCATTGTTTGTCTTTAAAATTAAAATCCAGAATGCTCAAAATTCTATGAAGAGTTTGTAGAAATGGAAATGGATTGTAATTAAAGCCTTTTACTGGTTTCTGAAGAGTTAGAAATAAGGTCTTTCCAGTAATTCACGTCTTCAAAATAAAATATCTTATAAACATTTTATTGCTCATTTGGCCATTTAAGAGGCAGCTTACAAAAAAAATTCAGAAATTGCTCCTTGTAACAAGATACCGGCATCAGTGTAAAGTAAAAAAAAATCAGGTATTATATTAGCATATCTTAAAACTGCATTATATTATGAACTATTCATATATTTTCGTTCCCCTTCTGGCATGCATGGGTCATTAGTGAATCATCCCGCTTCTTCCCATACAAGGAAGGAATATGAGCAATATATGTAGTGAAGAATACAGGGTGTCCACACTTATCTTGGTCCAATAGCTAATTTTTAAACTCTTAGAGATAGACATATAGTTCCAGTTGGAAAAATGCTTTAAATAAAGGGAAAAATTATATTTTATGTTTTTTGAGTCACTAAATATCATTCTGAAAAAGTTACGAATTCTAACTTATTTTACGATCCCCTGGTCCTATCAGTCATAGTTAGTAAAATATTCTTGACACTCTAACATTTTAAGTAAAAAAGTCCCACTCTTCTGCGACTAAAACTGACCGAGCTATGGAGCTTTGAATATAGCTGACTTGGACCATTTTACACCATTTCAATAGCAGTCTTGAAGACGATCCACCAATCAATGCTCAGCACTTGCTCGATGAGGCCGCTGATTGGTTAAAAATCATGGAATTCAAAGCTCCATAACTCGCTCAGTTTTAGTCGCAGAAGGGTGGGACTTTTTTTGTTTAAAATGTTAGAGTGCAAAAATATTTTACTGAACACGAATGTTAGGACCGGGAGACAGTAGGAAAAGTTAGAATTCGTAACTTTTTCAGAAAGATATTTAATGACTCAAAAAACATAAAATATAATTCTTCCAATATCTTTTTCCAATTGCAACTATATGTCTATCTCTAACGGTTTAGAAATTAGCTATTGGATCAAGATAAGTGTGGACACCATGTATAGTTGCTAGTTATTGTGTGTTTGCGCCGAGTAGAAGTTCTTCCAGACTTTTGGATTTACTATCCAAACTGATCGGTACAGAGCGAGGCTTGAACTTTTAATTGTATCTCACACAGGAAACCAGGAGTTCCGGATTGACCAAGACAGTTAACCCCTTAAGAGTCGCATTTTCTTTGCCATCTAATAAGATGATCCCTCCTGTTTTGGAAAGAGCTGTCGTTTTCATTCATCTAAGAAGGCATAAAATACTTGAGATGCTTATAGATTCTACGTAATTTTTGTGTCAAATTATAAAGCTAACTAATGATGAAATTGTAGTTTATAAGCCTAAAAATGCGACAATTCGATGCACGTCAATATGACAGGCGCGACAGTTAAGGGGTTAAAAAAATATCGGGAGTGTTCTCTCCCCTCCCCCCTCCGATTCTTTCATGTACTTCCTCAAGTGGCACGTTTTGAGTGTAGCTTCGTCGTATATTATAGGGCAGTGGTGGCGAGCCATTTTGAGAAGTGGGTCAAATTTTGTTCATTATTTTTTTAGATGCTAGCCTCTGTGTCACTAAGTCAGTGGTGTCACATGAAAAGGGGTGTGTGGTACCAATAATTTGAAATAAATGTGAGCTGGTGTCTCCTTATTCTACAATGCAACGAGTATGAAGTTCATGACCGACTGTCGTTAGTCATACACAGGTGTAGTGATAAGATAAAAAATAAGTTAGCCAACTTCCACTTGAAAATATTTCTCCATATAACATTTGAAATTAGATATTTATACTTCAATTTTTTAATATTTGATATTTTCGATTGTCTTTTCTCTCTTTTATGATATAAAAAATAAGTTTATGAAAATCAACTCGTGGGTCATTCAAAAAGCCTTTGGTGTTGAGTGTTTGACCCACGGGTCATAGGTTTGCAACCACTGATATAGGGAATCAAATAAGTAATTTTGGAACAATGACTATTTGAGTTGACAAATAAAGTATAAATTTTGATATAAATTTACAATTTTGGTGTAAAAATCATCTACCAAATTTCATTTGACTAACTTGTTGTAGTTTTGAATGATTGAGATCTCATAAACAGACGGATAAACACACAGACATTATTTCAAAAATGTATGTTTTGAAAATCAGTGAGATCTAAAACGTGGAGATTCATCAAAATATCGAGGTCGAAATTTTTGATGCAGTACTTTTCCTTTGTATACTTGTAACAGAAGATAAAAAGTTAGCTTTTGATCAATTTGTCGTCCCAACTTAATCACAATAAAGTGAATAATATTTTTCCCAAATTTTTTATACAAACAATTACAGTGCAAGCAAATTCTTTTGAAAATTTCATTACATTTATGAGAAGATTATACATAATAATAGGGTGCTAAGTAGAGTTATATATGCATCAGTTTGTAAAAATACTATATTTTCCTTGTGAAAGAGTGTGTTTAAGTTGGCGCATTTGTTACAGAAAATTCGATTTATTTGGAAGTTACCATTTAGGTAGTTTTGGAATTCATGCTTTATAAAACCAAACGAGTGCGTTAATTTTTTTTACCGTATTTTTAAGTTACTAAAAAAAAAGAAAGACGAAGAGCATCATTAACAAGCAATCTTGGTTGGTTTGAGTGAGAGTTGGTTTTCGAAGAATTCAGGTCGAACCTTTCAAAAGAAAATTGGAAAAAGAACTGGCCAACATTTGTATAGATGTTTTTCTCACTTTTGAAATACCAGGCACACAAAAAAATTTGGCCTCATGTTAAAGCATTCGACCTCTAGACTAACAAAATACAAGCAAAATGTATTTAAAAATCATAGATTTTTTAAGGCAGTTATACTAAGCTGCAATTGCATAAATGTACGTCGTTCTTCTCTATCTATATTGAAAAACTTGTTTTATAATGAAAACAGTAAAATGGGGTTTCAAATAAAGTACAAAATATGTTTCTCCATATATTATTTAATTCTGTATACTTCGTTCTTAAATAAAAAGATATATTTTTTATTTCTGGGGTATATGTTGGCAGCCTCTTTTTTAGCTAATTTGTTTCGAATTTCGCAAATACTGAAATCTTGAAGAATCTCAAAGTTAATAATTGATTATTCTTTTTAAAATCAATTCGCTGAATTATATGTAC